AAGCAGCTACATAAATGGTGACATGAAAAGACATCATAATGTTCATAAAGTGGGGGCTGGGGATTTAGAGCAGCAGCAAAAGTGCCTGCCTTGCAAGCGCATGGTTGTGAGTTCGATCCCCGGTACCAATTAAAATAATAGTAATAATATTTGTAAAGAAAGTTACAGGATTTTATGTAAAACATAAATAGGTATGCCAGCAAGTTATATTTATTTTTTTTAACATCCTTCCTGACAGCTTTTGTACTGAAAAACTGTCCTTTCATCAACAAGAGTGAGAGACCAGGTATGGTATCACACACCTGTAATCCCAGCACTCAGGTAGGCTGAGGCAGGCGGTTCAAATTGGAGTCCTGGCTGGGGAACTTAGTGAGCCCCTGTCTCACAGTATTTTTTAGAAGGCTGAGGATACAGCTCTTTGTACGGTGCCCCTGGGTTTGATCCCCAAGTATTGCAAAAGTAAAAACCTATGGGTAGTGGATGAGGAAGTAGCAAGCACTTCTGCAAAATCTGGGGTTATTTTCTCAACTCCTGTCAGAATTCTAGGAGCTTCAGCAATTTTAGCAGCACCTTTCATAGAAAATTTTAACATATGTATTCAAAAAACATTTTTATTTTGGTTTTTGCGTTCAACAACCTAGATGATACATGAGTTTTTAGTACAAGAATATTAAAACAGGGCAGAAAAATTATGAACAATGCAAAATTCAAGAAGCAAAATGCAGAAGTTTACTACAATAATACAGCAGAAGGAAGATCACTTCAGCAAAAAGGATTACATCAGTTACCTAGCACAGACTTGTAGAAAGTAATTTTGCATGTAGCTGTGCAGTCACTGTTTTAAAAATCATGTTATCAAGCAGTTTCTCAATTTTTATCCCAGAGCCCTTAACAATACTTTCTCCGTCTTATTCTAATGTATTCCAAGAACCAAAAAATTTTGCTTGGTTTTACCTTCTGTAGTTTGTATTATAAAAACAAAAGGACAAATATATTTTTACCTTCTCTCTTGGAGAGTCTGATAAAGCTACAAATACAACACAAATAATAAGGCTGGGGATGTAGTTCAGTGATAAAGTGCTTGCCTAGCATGCACAAAGCCCTGAGTTCAATTCCCATTACCACAAATAAATACATGACACAAGTTAACAGACTTAAAAGGACTCTGGTTGTGTAATACATACCCAAAGGCAGATAAGCAAGCCTTATCATACTCCTAGTTATTTTTTAAGGAAGAAAACAAATTCATGGTAAAGACTTAGAAATTGACAATTTTTAAGCTAAAATATCTTTTATCCTAAGTGCATTTTAAGTTGTTTCTAAACACCTTCCTAATTAATGTGTTTTTCATACTTTTTAAAAAATGGGGGGCTGGGGATTTAGCTCAGCGGCATAAGCGCCTGCCTTGCAAGCAGGCAGTCGTGAGTTCGATCCCTGGTACCAGTAAAAAGGAAAAAGACAAAAAAAAAAAAAAAAAAAAAAAAAAAAAAAGGACCAGGGACCTAGTACAGTGATACCTGTCATCCCAGCACTTGGGAGGCTGAGGCAGAAAGATCACAAGTTGGAGGCCAGCCTGGGATACATAGCAAGACCCAGTCTAAAAATAATAACAATAACAACAATAATAATAGGGACTTAACCAGAGCTAAATTAGGGCTCAGCATGATGGAGGTATTGGACTTAATTTTCACAAAGTTCCCATTTTCCTTTCCTGTATCAAAGTAATTAACTTAACAATGTCACCTTTATTTCCTAAAGGCAAATAACCGAAGGTAAATAACCAGATGCTGTGTACTTTCAAATAACATTAATCAATAAATGAAATCTATTTTTTAAAAACTGAAGAACAAGTTTTTAAAAATCTGATTTTTTAAAAACTTGTTCTTCAGCCCAAATCATTTTCCAGATATCTGAACTACAGACAGCACGCTTCACCCTTAACACTCACACCTCACATCTCAGAGTTTCACCACGTTACTCCCAAGAGACCCACAGGTACCACCAACATGTTATCAGTCGCTAAGGCTGTGCTTCTCTGTCTCTTCCACTTACAGTCACACATCTCCATATATATGCACACTCCCCCTTGTCCTTTTGGGACACTTTTCCCTTCTAATGTTTGCCTAGTTGCGGTAGACTGGAGACTGAAGGGAAACCAAAAAGACCAGGGGCTGGGTAATGCAGCTCAGTGGATGTCGCTCCAGAGTGTGCCTAGAATGCATTAGGTCCCCCAGCACAGCAGCAGTTGAAGGGGAAAAAAAAAAAAAGAGCAAACTACTGCACTATGTTTTGTTTTGTTTTTGGAGACAGGGTCTTGCTATATAGTTCAAACTGGCCTTGAACTCACTGCGCAAGAAAGGCTGACCTCAAACACCACAACTGTCCTGCCACAGCCTCCAGGGGGCTGGGTTTACAGGTGTGCGCCACCAAGAGGGCTAAAATTGCAAAGTCTTCAATTTAAATTGAACTTTGGAGGATTAAAGCCTGAACTATTTGCACTGAACTATATTCCCACGACCTTTCTTTCTTTCTTCCTTTTTTTTTTGGGGGGGGGGCGGGGGTGAGGCAACAAAGCCTCACTGGGTTGCCCAGGCTGAGATCAAACTTTCAAGCCCCCACCTCATTCTCCCACAGTGCTGGGACTACAGGTGTAGTCACTGTGCCCATTAATTACTATCTCTTAATTTAAGACAAAGTTACTTCCACTTGTCAAATCACTAATTTTCCGATGACACTGTTCTACAGTCTGAAATGCTAACAGTTTACTTGTATTTAGCTCTCCTATTTTCACCTAATTCCTCACATAAAAACCTTCTTACCACTGTGATTTAATTTAATCCCTTTACATGTAGAATGTTTTCTAGACTTTGGCTACTAGGAAAAACTAATGTCACCCATTATCTTTCAAAAACTTCATTTTTGGGCCAAGGATATAGCTCAATTGCACAGTGCCTGCTTAGCAAGCGGTTACCAGTCTGATTCCTGCTACAAAAAACAAAAATTCATTTTTATTTGCACTGGACTTAACATATTTGCCAGAGTCAAATTAATAATACCAAGCTAATACACCAGTCCCCTCAGCAACTCATTCAAAAAACTGTATCATTCAAACTGGGCTTTCTATCTTTTCAATATGGCTGGGACATGAAATGAGCAAATGTACTAATTTATTATAGGAAAACTTAAAACAGGTGCAAATTAATTTTTCCCATGTGTCACAATCTCCCAAGAACCAGACTACCCAAAGAGATCATATTTCAGAAAGCACTGTTAAACTTCTAGAGACTCAAAAATTAACATAATTAGGATTGGGGTCTGCTTACTCATAATTAAAACTAACCATATTTCTTCTATTAACAGCAAGAAGGACACTGAGGAAGGAGTATTGCTTCAAGTCTGACGCCAGCCTGGGCTACAGAGAGTGCAAGGCCTAACTGGACTACCTGGGAAGCCCTGTCTCAAAAAAACAAACAAGAAAACCAGCAAGACTTACAGAGATATACATGAAGTAGAAAATAAAATAGGCTTCTGTGGAGAAGCAACCTCTCCACCATCAAAAAAATTACTTTTACAGTTTTAGACATAAACTACACATATAGTCACAATTATGAAGATGCATGGTAAGTAAAAATAATTTTAAAAGTAATTTATTTTTCACATTTCAACTAAAACAGAAATACAAATTGAGGATTCATCAACCTTCAAGAGTATAGTTTACAAAATAAATGCATGGAATTTACAAAACAAATAAACAAGATTCAATAAGACCCAAACTGAATGAAATAGGTTAGACAATAAAATACCAAATGTTAATGGCTAAAGGGTGAAATGTGTGACTTTCTAATTTTCTTTATACTTCTGTATAACTTTCCAAATTTTCCCACAAAATGAACAATTGCTTTTATAAGCAGAAATAATTATAAACCATACATTTAAAGGTTCATTTACAAAAACTCTATTTTGTCCAACTATTATTAAGAAGTGAGCAACGCTCACTTTCCAAACTGAACTGCTAGTGTTTAATCCCGTTGCTTCTCTGCTGCACTTGCAACAATGGAATGAACTTCACTGTCGTGATTCACTTTTAAATACACTTTATTTTTTTCTCCCTAAAATCCGTAAGTTCTCGATAATCCTCAAAATTCCGTCTCTTTAAAACCGAACTCTAAAGTTCCTTATAGTAAAACTGAAATTAAAAAATTGTTTAGCCCCATCACAACTTCATCAGGCCACCATCACTTTGGCTACCGAACAGTAAAACAGTAAAGGCCGAGTAAACTACACATCCCACCATGCATTGCTGTCTTGTTCAGAGTAGGTCTCTACGGAAACAGAAAAAAAAAATCTACAAGTCCCACCTGTTACTTGGTTTCTGAACACCTCCTGCACTTTCCGCTCCAACAGCAAACAAAAACAAAAGCCTCGTGACCTCATGTAGGCTCAGAGAGCCAGAGAAGCGGGGGGCCTGAGATCAGGTGGCACGTCTGCTGCAGAGGATAAATTCTACCGAGCTCCAGCGCTCCCCTCTTCTTTCTGGGGCTGGATGCACGCACAAGCCTTCCCCTGTCTGCATCCAATGGGGGGCTCCGCAGGCGCGCAAGCGAGAAGAACCGGTTGCTGTGCAAGCAAGCAACTGACTTCCCCGTGCCGGGGCGGGGGCTGCCAGAGTGGGGGCGACAGCGACAATACCCCAAGAGACAGCCTCAAAACACCAAGAGGACTCTTCACAGAGGCTGAGAGAAGCCACAGCCCCGCCGCGACTCACTCCCGCCGGCGCCTCCATTCCCACAAGGATCACAATCCCGACTGTAACCGCCACCCTCTCCGCGCGGTTTTGCGCCCCCTCAGCCGGGTCGCGGGACCGGTGACCTCCCTTCCCCTGCGACTGGAGGGCGGCAAGGGAACGAAGTCCTCCCGACCTTCCCCTTCACTCCCTCCCCCTTACCGTCTTGGCGGCCTCCGCCCAGGTCCTGCCCTTCTTCCTACGGCCCTTTTCCCTCATGTCGGGTCTTGAACTGACTGGGAGGCTCCCGTGTCCGGGCTCCGGCCGCGCTCCCTATCTGCTCTGCCCTGCGCTGCTTTTCCCGCGGTGCTGGGAAAGGTGGGAGAAAGGGGAAGTCAGGTCGGAGGAGCACCCTAACAGAGGAAGCGGCAGGGGAAGTGCGCGCGGGGGGGTCTATGGGGCGGCCGGTCCGTCTGCTGCCTTTGCCACTGCCACCGCCGCTGCCATATTGGGTTCTTACTGTACAGGCAGCCGCTTTAGTCATGTGACCGCTCCCGCGCGGTCGTCACTACTGTACGCAGCGGCTGCGCGAACGAGCGCGCGCGCGCCCCCCGCCTCCCGCACTCACGCCTGGCCACGCCCCCTCCCTTCCGGTCTCGGCCCCTTCTCAGGAGCATGCGCAGGAGAGAGAGCCAGCCAGAGTTTGCGTCTGCGTCCCTGCGTTCACGCCCACGGCGAGAATCTGCCTGCGGAAGCGGAACTATTGGGGAAGGATTCTAAAGCGGATCTGATCCGGACCGCGTGCGAGGTGCAGTGGCTGTGTGGATGCTTTAGAAGAGTCGGCTGCTACCCTCAAGGAGTGCCCCTACCAAATGTCATGTCTTAAAGTTTCTTGTTTTTCTGAAAATGGAACCGGGGGCCTCGCGCGTGAAGCTATTATTCTTGATAAGCCCCGCCTTGGGTTTTTTCAGTGTTGTATTCATTTTGTCAAAGGTTACCATTTGAAGATTGTCAGCAGTTTCCATCTACTTGTTAATCCCATTCGACAGATAAAATCGGTGAGATTGAGCTACGAACTCAGTTTTAGGATACAGAGAAACCAGAAGTCAGTTTGCCAGCTTAGAGGCCTTTTATCTCTGCAAAGTGGCTCATAAATTTAGATAACTTCTTTGAAGACTGCTACTTACTATATCCACATTCTTACACCTGAATAGCCTCATCCAGAACAGCAATGGTAACTTTTTATCTTAGTGCGCTCAGTCCCTGGCACAGTACCTGTATGTGCCAGGTGTCCAGTAAATATTTGCTGAAAGATTCAATGGTGGCTGCAGCCCCTGAAAGATCCAGACTAACCAGGCTTCCCTCGGGTTATCTGTGTCTTATGCTTTGCAAAGCTAAACGAATGTGGAGGGGTGGAGGATGTAACTCAGTGGTAGAGCATTTAACTAGTATTGTGGGGTTTGTGGGTGCATTTCCAAAGTTCATAGGCCCCCTAAAACTATAGGTAGTATTTTATGTGTGATTCGTGTTTGTTTTGTTTTTGTTTTGTTTTGTTTTGTTTTTGTCTTTTTCCTTTTAACGGTACCAGGGATCGAACTCACGACTGCCTGCTTTCAAGGCAGGCGCTTATGCTGCTGAGCTAAACCCCCAGCCCCGATTCGTGTTTTTTTTAAATAATTTTTTTAAAAACTTATATATATTAGGGAACTTCAGCCATCAGGCAGTGATTGCCCAGACCCATCTTAGCAATTGATTGGGATTATATATATATATATGTATATATATTATATTTTTGGGGGGGTACCGGGGATCAAACCCACAACTTTGCATTCGCCAAGCGGGCACTTACGCCGCTGAGCTAAACTCTCAGCCCTATCAGGATATATTTTAACACGAATTCTTTTAGGATCTTGTAATACTATCTGTAACACTCATGGTGCCACATAGTTACAAAGCCTATATCTGTAGTCAGGTCAAGAAGCCCCACCCAATTCCAGCTGTTGGCCGAGCTTGCCGTCCATCCTATTACCATCTCGTGAGCCCAGAAGCTCTACGCCAACTTGCCTTAGATTTTACTAGGCCAGGTCCTCCAGTTTCCTTACATTTAGATTTCTGGCGTTCTATCTCAAGGTTTTTGTCTCAAATCCAGGGATTGTGATGTTGCATTCCCACTTTTTAATTTTCCTCTGATCTAGACAGGTTATTAGTACAATAAATTTATTCTTCAGAGGGCAGGGGATATAGCATTTAACAGGCACAGTGCCTGCCTGGCCAGTGCAAGGTCCTGAGTTTGATTCTCAGTACCAAAAAAAAAAAATTAACCCTCTAATTTTGCCCCTATAAATGTTTGATTTGTTAGGTATACTTACATCTTTCTCATCATCTCCACCCTAGTTCTGGGTTTCCTTAAATGTTCTGTTTCTACTCTCATCCTACTCAAACCCATCCTTCATAGGATGCCCCCAAAATTCTTTCCCCCAGTATTGGGGGGGGGGGGGCTCATACATGCTCCACAAGTGCTCTATCACTGAATCCCAGCCTTCTGTCTATTCTTTTAAGCCCGCCCAGTCCATTAAGACATCTTGCATAGTTTTTAAAGTCAAAATTTCTAGTTTCAAACTTAGAGTTTCTGTACTCAGTTATACTTTGAGTTACCCTTGCTGTCGTCAGCATTTGCAACGCTCCTGAAGATCTCTATTTTGCCTCTTCATTTAACAAAGAGTGCACCAGACCTTTATAAAAATTGCCAACCAAAAAAATAAATTTTAAAAAATAAAATTTTAGGGGCTGGGGATTTAGCTCAGCGGCATAAGCACCTGCTTGCAAGCAGGCGATCGTGAGTTCGATCCCTGGTACCGATAAAAATGAAAAAGACAAAAAAAAAAAAAAGAAAATTTTAGCCAGGCATGGTGGTGCATGCCTGTAATCCCAGCAGGTTGAGGCAGAAGGATCATTGCAGGTTCAAGACCAGCTTGGGCTCCACAGTGAGCTCAAGGCCAGCCTGAACTATACAGCAAGACCCTTTCTCAAAAAAACAAACAAAACAGGTCTGACTTCCTTGGTAAGGACAATAACCTACTTTTACAAAGGTTAGCTGAGTATAGTACCCAAAAGAAATTCAAGAACTTTTTTTAGGCCATAAATATTAAACCCTAGGCTTGCTTTATTTTGGAATCAAGGCAAGATTTCCTTTTCAAAAGAAAAAATAACCTTTTTGGGCTGGGGATTTAGCTCAGTGGCATAAGTCTCTGCCTGGCAAGCACGAGGTTGTGAGTTTGATCCTCAGTACCACCAAAAAAAAAAAAAAAAAAAAAAGCTTTTTTCATGTTTACAAAATTTCTCCTTATAAAAATTTCATAGATATTTATTTAGTCTAAGGCAGAAATTAAGACTTGACTCCTTTTGCAGGTAAATTCCTGGGTGAGCTCTCAGCAGGAGACTGTAAGGGTGGGACACGCCATACAGAACGTGATAGAGAAGGGAAGAAGCTAAGGGGTGCCCAGCCCCACTCAGCCTGACACGTTGGCTAAGAAGCATGAATGGCCTCATTGGTTATGCCCACCTCTCTGCAGAGCCAGACTTCCCGTCAGACAGGACATCCTCAAGGCACAGCGTGAGACCCTGGGGACAGGAAGTACTAGCAAGCTTAATTGGCCTTGGCACCAAAGCTATTTTCAACAGTTTTATCATTAAAAATATTATATTTTATCTCAATCTGTCGCCTCCTCTTTGTATCTTTTAATTTTCCCCCCAAATTAGGCAAGTTGATACCCTAAAAATCTGACAGATAGTGTAATTTTAAATAGCCACATATCATTCTACTGTCTGGATTATGTATCATAATTTTATTTTATTTTATTTACTTATTTTTTTATCGGTACCAGGGATCAAACTCGACCACATGCTTCCAAGGCAGGCGCTTATTCCTGCTGAGCTAAATCCCAAGCCCATGTATCATAATTTTAACCAAGCTTCTATGATGAACATTTCCTATAGTTCACATGTCAGTGCTATTATTAAAAATACTGAGCTTAATATCCAGTACACATTGTTTTTCATGGACAGAGATATAAGAAATATTAAAGTGAAAAAGGCGAGATAAAGAACCATATATAGGGCTGGGGATTTAGCTCAGTGGCATAAGCACCTGCCTTGCAAGCAGGCAGTCCTGAGTTCCCTCCCTGGTACTGATAAAAAACAAAGAACCATATATAATATGATGTTTTGGTTGTTTTTATTTTGTTTTGAGACAGGGTGTCACTATAGTAGTTCAGGTTGATCTTGAACTCACTATGTGGCTTGGCTGGCCTTGAACTTGGAGCAGTCCTCCTGCCTCAGCCTCCTGAGGCATGTGCTGCTATCTAGCTATTACGGTCTTTTTCAGTGAGAAAAAGATGAAGGTATTCTTTTTGGCCAGTACTGTCCAAACTTCCCCCCCATACTGTCCAAACTTCCCCATATCTGGAAATATTCCACCTACTATTGAAATTGAAAGCATCAATCTCCCTTAAATGTGAGGTAAGTGATGTGCCCTAACATCTAACAAACACTTACGCCCTAGACTTTGAATCAAGTGCTAGGAATGTCCAGCATCAATGGTGTCAGTGATTCAAGCTGCAAAGCCTTCAAAAGGCCAGCTCTGTAGGCAGATTTCAGTAATTACTACTGTTAGTAAAAACTTCTGGGCTTGACCCCTTGGACTTTCCAGAGATTCTATGAGCCAACTAATATCCATTAGAATTTTTTTAAATTTTATTTAAAAGGAAAAAGAGAAAAAAACAAAACAAAACAGAGCGGTGTAAGGGTACAAGTAATACAGAACTACAAAAAAAAAAAAAAAAAGTAAGAAATCACCAGTTAATAGATTACACATTATCATCTTAGAGATAGTTGCTCATAGAATTTTTTTTTCACCAGATGTCGTGGTGCATATATATCATCTCAGCCCTCAGGAGGCAGAGGCAGGAGGATTGTGACTTCAAGGCGATTCTGAACTACATAGTGAGACCCTGTCTAAAAACAATAAATATACGCTATTACTGTATAAATTACCCAGAATTGCCAGGCGTGGAGGCACATACTTGTAATTTCAGCATTTGAAAGGCTGAGGCAGGATAACTGCCCCTTTGAGGACTGCCTGAACTACATAGAGACCCTGTCTCAAAAAATCAAAACAGGGGGTGGGGATTTAGCTCAGCAGCATAAGCGCCTGCCTTGCAAGCAGGCAGTCTTGAGTTTGATCCCTGGTACTGGTAAAAAAAAAAAAGTTACCAACAATTCATTTCTTTTTTTTCTTTTCTTTCTTCTTTTTTTCAACTAAAAACCTGATCATATGTGTCAGCTGCATGCGTGTGCACATATCTGAGTGCAATAAACCCCATGACGTGCCATCCCTGTTGGGACTGAAGACTTCCAGTACGCCCCTAGTTCTGAGCTTACTGCTGAAGGAAACCACCTTGTTCAAGTTCCTGCTCCTTTCTGGAGGCAGCCTCTACCCCCCAGAGACTTCGTGGGGAGTGTACAGTGCTTCTGAGCTGCTTCCTGAGGACCCAGCGTGCGTCCCGTTAGAGTGAGTCCTATGTCGAGCCTGGTAATGGTGGAGCCCTGGTCTATCTCCGACTCAATGTCTCCACATAATTAGAATAGAATGATCTTATTATCCATGTAATTAGAATAGAATTATTAGGTTAGAAGTTGACACAACCTGCATATTGGTTCCCTGACCTGTGGCATGAGAAGTAGCAAAGTGAGGAAGTCCCCTACAGCAGCCAAGATGGGAAGTTAGGAGCTGGGGATTTAGCTCAGCAGCATAAGCATCTGCCTTGCACGTGCAGGGTTGTAAGTTCAGTCCCTGGTACCGGTTTTAAAAAAAAGATGGTAAATTAAAATAATACCAATAGTAATTATAATAATAATGGCATGGACTACTTCCTTTCTAAAGACCAAAAGGATTCAAGGGTATTAGTCCTCATCCATTTCTTTTAATTTCATTAATTCTTTGTTGTTGTTGTTGTTGTTGTTGTTTTGAGAGAGTCTCTCTTTGTAGTCCAGCCTGGCCTTGAACTCAATATGTAGTCCAAGCTAGCCTCACGGTGATCCCTCTGCCTCAGCCTCCTGAGTGCTGGCGTTACAGGTATGTGCCGCCACACCCGGCCCTTTATTTCTCTCACTAATCTTGCCCCATCAATACCAGATGGATGCCAGAGGATGACGGTAGACAGAAATTGTGTCAGCTAGTCCTCCCAGTACCACACGTAGTGGGCACAAGAGAGGCATGCTTTTTTAAAAAAAAAATTGCTCCTGGCATGAAATGAAGCTCTGGTTAACACAGAGAACCTGAACATGTAGCCAGAAAATGATCATGCGCTTATTTCTGTCATTCAGTTAAACTGTAAGATCAAATGATTCCAGGAGCATCGTGTTGCCAGATGGAGGTGGCACATCTGGGGTTAGGAACACTGGGGTTCGAGAGCACAGAGAAGCTGCACACACAGATGGTACAGTTTCCAGCATCAGACCACATGTCCGAGAAACCATGACACCGCCCCTTCGGCCCCATCACAGTTGCTTGGGACGTTTCCTCACGACCAGCCAGCAGGAAAAAGAAGCAAAGCTTGGTTTATAAATGGATCAGCTTGGTGGCTGCGGTACCGTCCCACTCAGGATGGTTTTCAAGACAAGGACAAGGAGAAATTTTCCCAGTGGGCAGAACTTCAGGCAGCGTACTAGGTGCTCTACTGTCTGTGGAGACCAAATTGGCCCAAAGGGTCCGGGGATGTAGTTCGGCAGTGCAGCGCCTGCCTGGCAAGCACAAGGCCCTGAATTCGACTCCTAGTACCAAAAAAGAAAATAGAAAAAAAAAAAAAAAGACCAAAAGAAAATGGCCAAAGGTTAGAATAAAAGTACATTCCTGGTCCTTAGACAATAGCTTGACCAAGTGGTCAGGGGCTCGGAGCGGAAAAAAGAAAGTAGATCAGAGATAAGAGGCTGGGTGAGGCTGGGCACAAATGTCAGAATCCCACTGAAGGCACTCACCCTCACCGTAAGGAAGCACTGAGCAAACAAGCAGCCCATGATTCCATCCGCTGACGGCAGCCGGCCTCTGCCACTGACCACCAGAGTTTGGGTCATTCTTCCCTCAACACAGGAGACGTGGTGGCCGGGATGCAGGCTGTGAATGGGCCCAACGTCTTGGGCTTCTACCTACTGCGGCTACTAAATGTCAATCAGCCAGCGAGAAAGATAAAACCGGAGGTGCATGCTTACAGTCCAGCTAAAAGCTGAAGGGGAAGGATCGCAAGTTCAAGGCCAACCTAGGCAACATAGCAACACCCTGTCTCAAAAAAAGAAAGATGGGCGTGGGGGTGCACTCCTGTAATCCCAGCACTGGGGAGGCTGAGGCAGGAAGGTTGTTGCAAGTTCGAGACCAGCCTGGGCTACAAAGTGAGATCAAGGCCAGCCTGAACTGCATAGTGAGACCCTGTTTCAAAAAGCAAAAGGAAGGAGAAGGAGAAGGAGAAGGAGGAGAAGGACAAGAAGAAGAAGAAGAAGAAGAAGAAGAAGAAGAAGAAGAAGAAGAAGAAGAAGAAGAAGAAGAAGAAGAAAGAATAGAAAGTGGTATACATCTGTAATTCCAGCATACCAGGAGGCTGAGGCAGGAGAATCACAAGTTTCAGCGTAGCCTTGGGTGGCTCAGTGATTTCGTGAGACCCTGTCTGAAAATAGAGATGGACGTGGTGGTGTTGGGGATGTGGCTTAGTGTGAAGTCCCTGGTTCCACTGCCAATCCTGAAGGAAAGAACAGATAAAAAGGAAGGAAGGAAGGAAATTTGTGATTTGACACCATCCCTCAACGAGATGAATCAGCCACTCAGGAGCTGACTATATTGAATCCCTGCAGCAATTCATTTTTACTGGAATAAACATGTTTCAGGTATCAAGTTGCCTTTCTTATCTATAAACTCTCAGCCAGTGTGACTTTCAAGGGACAGATGAGGATGGTGTTGCGTGCCTAGAATCCCAGCTACACTGGGAGGCTGAGGTGAGAGGATCACAAATATGAGCACAGCGTTTAGCAACTTAGCAACTTACAAAAACCCGTCTCAAAATTTTTCAAAAAACAGGCTGGCCAGGGATATAGCCCAGTGGCACAGGGCCTGCCCGGCAAGTGCAAGGTACTGAATTCGAGTCCTGATACTCCTCCCCCACAAAAAAAAAAAAAAAAAAAGGCTGGAGGTAGCTCAGTGCTAAGTCCTTACAGTCAATTTGCAGTACCATTATTGAAAAAAGAAAAGGAAGGGGCTGGGGATTTAGCTCAGTGGCATAAGTGCCTGCTTTGCAAGTGTGTGGTCGTAAGTTCGATCCTCGGTACCGATAAAAGGAGAAAAAGACAAAGAAAAAAAAAGAAAGAAAGAGCGGTTACTAACACGAAATCCCATATAACAGTACATGAAAACAAAGATCCCATGTTACAACAAAGAGCATATGCCAGCAGACACATGCTTACAGTATCTTCAGGCCCGGGGATCTATTTCTTTTCAAAAATACAGAATTCTTCACCTCACACAGCAGCCTAGGCTACAAGCGGATTGAACTGTGGTAGTTCTCTGCCATCCTATGCTATGCATGTACTCCTGGCCTGACTGAGCCATGCAGGGGTGCACTGAAGGCGCCTTGAGGCCGAAGCTCAGAGCCCTTCCTGTGAGGATGAGACGG